GAGGAGTGGATTCCCTGAATTAGGGATTCCTTGCTTCCCCTCGATGTGCAGCAGTAACAGCAGCGGGTGGGTGCCGTGTTACGCCCAGCCCTCGCTGCCATCTGGCTCCGCCCCCATATTTTATTAGCCCCACTTCCCTTCTGAGCGGTCAGTTTTGAAGTAATTGTCGGTCTCTGCTTGTGTGAGCTGTGTTGGCTGCCCGGCGCCCCAGCTGCCATGCTGCCATGGGGCACTGTGTGGACTCACAGATCCATTTCCCTGGTCATGGCTACCCCCCTACCTAGTGGCACCCGGGGCAGACCGCCCCTCCCGCCCCAACCCTTTGCACTCCACTGGGAACATTCTATAAATATAAATTTAGTAGGAACCTGGGTGGGCAGGAAGTGCTTCAAGCTAATTAAGAGAGTCGGTATTGCATGTTTCTGGGTTTGTGGATTGAGGCCTAAGGAAACATGCAATACTGACTCTCTTAATTAGCTTGAAGAGCCCGACAATTACTTCAAAACTGACCGCTCAGAAGGGATGTGATACACTGTGTCTTCTGACACCTTTCTATTATGGCCAGCACTAAGTTTTTCAGCAATTTAAGCTTCAGAAGTTCTTCTATGCGATCGAATCAGACGACTAGCCTTCATTCTCCACATGCACCAATGAGTTTTGGACACCCATAACCCATTGATTCACTTGTTGTCCTCCTTTGAACCACTTTTGGTAGGTACTAGCCACACAGGGAAACCCCACAAGACTTGCTGTTTTGGAGATGCTCTGACCTAGTTGTCTAGTCATCACTGTTTGGCACTTGTCAAAGGCACTCAGATCTTTTCGCTTGCCCATTTTCCTGCTTCCAACACATAAACCTTTCAGTTGTATACACCATATGTTTGCTTTACCCACCCCCTCTTTGCCTACTTTCCTTTGCCCCTCCTAGCTGTAAATACCTTCATATAACTGTGTCTCACTAAGACCGACGTGTGTGTGTGTGTGTGTCTGTCTGTCAGTGTCTGTCAGAGTGTGTGTGTCTGTCAGTGTGTGTGTCTTTTTGTCAGTGTGTCTGTCAGTCAGTGTGTGTGTTTCTGTCTGTTTGTTAGTGCGTGTGTGTGTCTGTCACAAATGTATGGGGGTGCGAGACACATGGATGGGGTAAGGGGTGGGTACTAAACATGGAGGGACTAGAGGGGGGAGTGAGAAGTGTGGAGGGGCTGGAGTGGGGATGAGATACATGGGAAGGGCCCCAGTGCAGTTTTCG